TTATATACAGTTATAGTTTAAGTTTAATATGTTATCTTCATAAATTTATATGCATACATTGAATTAATATTTATTTGTATACGGTCCGATCTCCAACTGAAAGTAGCATATGATAATAATAATAATAATTTAACAGATCCTAACAATAATATAAAAATAAAATCGTATTATATGAGAACTTCCTTGCACTATAATTCCTATAATAGTAATAAATTATATAGTTTAAGTTAAAAGTTTATACATTTTGTTTATAGCAGCTTGTGAAGTTGTTCACTTATCGCGTAAGCACATATTTATATCATATTATATTATACAAAGATGATAATTTTCAAAAGTTATTTTTTAGTTAGTTTTTAGTTAAAATACTTAAATAGTTAATTATCCAATTACATTCAAGTTAAAAAATCCATAAAAAAAACTTAGTTTTTTTTAGATTATTTGAAAAACAATGCGATAAGTTTAATTAAAGTCATGTTTAGCATGTTATAATATTATATGGCATACTTGCTTTAATAAAAATATATTTATCAATTATTTTGATTAATTTCTTTCTGAGATCGGTGTATACGATTATTTTAAATATAAAGTAACAAATAAATATTCTTTGATTTAATAATTTAGTTGACATAAACATATGATTACTTAAGCTATTACAGATATAATATATGAATTTACGATAAGAAAGTAAAGTAGGTACCTATAGGGTGCATTTTTGTTAAAATATTTAATTGTTATTAAAAAAAAAAAAAAAATGAATGTTTCAAAATCACTTTAATGTATGTGGATCTCAGATATTTAGGCGGTAATTTAATAAAAAAAATAATTAATTTCTTTAACTAAGTTAATAGCTTGCATATTTTTCTTCATATTAACTTAAAATTTTTAGAGTTAAATATATTATTTGTTAGCTATTATAAACTTGTAGCTTTACGTTTTTTACGTTTACTTAACTCAACGAAAATTAATAGTTTTCATTAGCTGGCCCATCTTTGAATATATTATGTATTATTTAATATAAAATATACTCAATATGAAATGATATATATTATTATATTAGTTTATGTATTAAAACGGCGTACAAAAGCTATATAATATACGTATATCATAATAATAAGAATAAAAACAAAGTTCGAACGATTTAAGTGTCATTAATATCCTCGATACGCGGTATCGCTACTAAACCATGTAATACTAAGTACTAAAAAATACCACGATACATGATGTGGTGCATGTACTAGTCACTACGACTACCACTACGGCACTACCTACATATGTACATAACGGCATGTAATGTGCGCTTGCATATGTATTATATTATATAGGTACTATTATAAAGAACAAATAATAATGTGAACATCGAGTTAATTTTACTAAGTATCACCTCAGTAATATTATATTTAATGAAATTATATGCATACGTATAATATATTATTATACTATATTAAATGGTAAAACGATACATGTCGTGCTGTTGTATAGCACGCGTAACGTTTAATGAATTATTCAACACTGCACTAAGTGCAGTTTGCAGTCGAATATTACGCGAGTACTTGCGTACTAACAATATTATATGTACTTATAACAATAATAATAATATGCAATTAAACGTCACACAAGTCGTGCAACGTAAAACGGATCGAAGGCAAGATCATGCATTGCAGCATCGATGTATTGACGCGTGTCGACAAGTGCCGATAAATCCGTGATTCTACGTGTATATAATGATATACAATAATATAAAGTATTTACGCGCGCGATTATACAGGATTTTCTGTGCCAACGATATTCTCGTAATATATACGTACAGTTAAAATCCATATAAAAGCGATCGCGTCACAGTCCGGTCTAGTGTACAACAAAAACTTTATATGTGTATTGTGTGCATGTCATATACTATAATAATATAGAAAATCATCGTAATACGGCTACATAATATCAATATTATATTGTATTAACGTTCAAATAACATGTACGACATATGTATAATAATTGGAAATCACATATGACTCGGTAGGGTGGTTTTAGATTTAAAAAATCGCCAAGTCATCTCTCATCCCTATTTGTTTTTCAAGTTTTGATTTTTGGAATAATTCTTAAGTAGTATACTTAAAAACCGTAATATTTTCAAATGATCATATATTTATACTATTTAAGCTGTGTTTCAATATTCTCTATCCATATTAATATTATCCTTAATTTATACATAGTGTTAAATAACTCAAAAAAAAAAAAACTCGTCCGAATTTCAAAATAGATACTTCAACATTTTCGTTAAATTCGTCTATGCTAACGACTGATTACATGAAAAAAGGGTGTCACAAGTCAAAAGTTTTTTGTCGTTTAAAAAAAAAAGGAATAGATGGTATTGCCAACATGGCACTCCCCTAAATTATATAGTATATTAAAACAAATCTAAATATTTGAAAACAAAAAAATAAATAGACATATACTCAAAAAAAATATTCCAAAAATCAGAACTTGAATACATTTATCATTAACGGAAAACTTGAGGATAAGCATACGCAGTGAAAATCTCACTTTACACTAGCTGGTAAATGGTTGAAAAAATATCGCCCTTGACTTTAAAATGACTAGCAAATGGCTTTATTATAACGTAATATTACAGCACATATTTGTACTGAAACCGTTATCGCAACAGTGGGCCCGTCACGCGTTTTTATGTAAACATTGTCGTCGATCGTAAATAAGTAATTATAGTGATGTAACTATACGCTATACCATCATAGACAAGTACCTACACTCGGTGGCAAGTTAAGTTTTCTTCGATGGGTTTTCTTAGCTGCGCCTGTCTGACGTCAAATTATTACAAGCCATTATTCAGTCGTTGACACGTGCAGCTTTTCCATATGTTATTTACTATAATACATAAATGTATTATATTTAAAAGCACGTGTTTGTCGAAATAATTATGAAATTATAGGTATCTTTGAAAACTAAATGCTTGTACCGTAACGATTTGCCATTAAATTTACTTTGAACGGTACTGCGTTTTATATTATGCTTAAGTATTTCAATCAAATAATAATACGACTGTTACTCTATATAATAATATGCATTTATGTATATCTATTCAAATATCAAAACTATTATGGAGACATGGCTAGAAATTTTCAATTTCAAAATCTGTTCGATTCTGTTATTTAATTTGTTATATAATTTATGAACTCCATAGTATCGGGTATTTATTTTAATACAATATTTCAAAGCTAATTTTTTAATTATTGACTTTGTTGTCGAACGCGTGAGAACGTAAAAAGTTTAAAAAGTCAACTGCAGGTAAGGGGAATCAAGTTCATTAATATAGAAGATGAGGTATTGGCGAAAGTTTCACTGCCCCCGGTATACCTACCTGTATTATAATATATAAGTATATATATTTATATACCTAATTTAACAATGCATTATATCACGACGACGAGGAACGGCTGCACGCAAGGTATTTGTTATGTATTATTTTATCATAATGGTAGAAAAACGTTGTTTTACAATATAATACTATTACACAGAGTGATTTTTATTCTATCATCAACCAGATAGACAACTACATACACACACTACCGTATATTACTTAGTTTATATATTTTTAATTCTCAAGAGTAAAATCATTGTGTTTAATAACAAAGTCATACACATATCTCGATACAGGTATAATAAACATCCTTAAAAGGTCCCGTGGGAGCAAATAGTGGAAGTGGTAGGTACTTCTGAGGAGAAATCTTCATTTTTGGAGGAATCCCAAATCAAGTCCTCATCGAGTATGTAGTACATTTATAATTTTTTTTTTTGTAAAATTTAAAAATAAACTTGATATATATATTACCTATATATAAACAGATCTTCATATTTATTTAATTTACATACACATTGAGATATTTTAATATACCTAAACCTAAATCAAATCACCAAAAAAAGGCACAATTTTTTACTCAAAAAACATACAATATAATATATACGATAAGGTAAGCAATTATTTTTTATTTTTTTTATTCTTATTCTTATGAATTGTATGGATAGAATATTATACCCACCCCCATTTATACCAAATGTATTTTACATTTTTATCACCTTCATAATACACGGAAGACTTTTGGTAAATTTAAGAGCTATTTACAATTTGCACCCATGGTCCTTAAAAGTTAATACTACATAGACGTGTACCACCGCGGTATATACCTAATATATATCATTATATTATAAAACGTCTGATGGATAATGATATATCGAAAATCACTCTGTGTATTATACGCTATAAACCTCCAAAAAACATAATTCTATATACCTACAGCGGCGAAACAAACATAATATCGAGGGAATCGGTTATTCCGAAAAAATAATGTAGACTATTATTAGTAGAACTAAGATGTTTATATATTATGTATTATTGCATTAGTATGCATTTTTTCCACGTATTTTTAAAGATATAGTTAGTAATATAAAAATATCGTTTAATATTGATACAAAATATAATTTATTTTTCTTATTTTAACTGTTAACTTGAAAAATGTAAATTTAATGAAAGTGGAGAGTTATCTATATTGATCTAAGAATTCTTTAATTTACCTCATTTATAAAAAGTATATAACTTTATTAATTTTAGTATAATTATACAATAGATATTACGCTTCATTTTAAGTAATATAATAAAAATTGGTAACAATTAGGATTACCATTAGATGTCTTTTATTAATTTATTCTATAAATTGCATATTATTATTAATACTAGTCAAAATTATTAGAAAAACTACACGGACGATAATTATGGTCAATTGCAGGTCATTAAATCTCTCTAATGTCTCTGTGTTTAAATAAGTTAGTTTTTAGTAAAATTGTGGTTCGTTTCACCGCTGAAACTATATTTTGTACAGTATTTTTATAAAGTCGTGTCGTATAATGAGGATAGATAAAATAACTAAGTACAAAATAGCAACAGCTAGTAATGCGTTGTTCGAGTGCAATAATGCGATGCAATGCAATATTACCATTAGCGTCGCTGCCGGTCATCGCGTATCTTGGGTAACCATGATACGATAGATTCCTGTTGGTGCCCAGCGCGAAATCGTCCTTGGTCCATTGCAGCTGTCCTGCAAGATCGGCGACCCTGCACGGCAGCGATGCCGTAGAGTCTACCACTGCGCTCTGATCCTCAGGTTCGACAACGAAAGATTGTTCATTTGACGACGCCCGACCGACGGAGACGATCACTAGGGTCACACACATGACAAAAATCTCCAGTCGACTCGTCATACTCGTTCATCTGCGAATACCACATAGTAGAATATTAATATCATTGTTATATTAAATGCACTAGTATTATTATTATTATTATTATTATCATCATCATGGTAATTATTGATATGGTTAGTATATGAAAAAGATCTTAAAAACTCTCAACAAAATGCATATCATGCAAATTAGTAACTATACTATATGTCAGAACTATCAAATTTTATGTTATGGTATTATTATACCTTTAAAACAATCAATAATGTAAGAAATTTTTTCAATTATTCGTTATTTCCATTTGAAATATTATTACATTAAGCAATTTTAATAGAAACTATATATTATTAAATTTATGCTAGAGTTAGTTATAATAATAGCTGGTGCCAATGGATACTGCCTACAGGCAATTTTTAGTGGTGTAAACTCGACAAGTCATGAAAGGTTGTGATGAGCTTATGAGATACGTCCTTAAACACTTTATCCAATTGACTAAAAGAAAAATTGCTTTAAGCCGGGACGTTTTGTCGTATAACTACCAATTCATGTAGGTCTCGAAAAGTTCGTGTCGCAAACATGCGTGACATAGATATCAAAAGAGTCTTACAAGTTACGTTATATAATATCCCATCACCTGCAACACTATTTTTATAATATAAATTTTTATAATTTTTAAGTAGAATATATTTTATCTATATACACATAACACACTTAAGCACATATCCGTGACGGATTTGGAAAATGCGAGGGATGACGTTGATTTAAGGGGCTTCACTTAGATTTTTTTAACTATACTACTATAGTCTATAGGCACCTATGATATGGGTATACACAATAATAATCCGTAAGTGTTAAAAAAAGGCACATTTTGCTTTAGCCACATTTGGAAAATTGTTTTAAAAAAAATTGACCCTTAGATATACTTATATATATATATATGCTTATTTTGTGTTTTCAGCAAACGATCCATAATATAAGTTCTTATTATTTCATTTTCACTTATAAAAAGATGACTTATTGAAAAAGATTGAGGCGAACCTGGATAATGCTAATTTCTAGTTAAATCACCGTGTATATATTTAAACTTAATGTAATTAAGATATTGTAAATTTAATATCTACATTCTACATACTCGTATATTTCATTGCTTTCAGTTGATTTATGTACTATTTTATTGACCTATTTCGAATAAAATATAATAAAAAACCATATTGCGAAAATAAAACCACGACCAGTCAGAAGTCCTTTATAGATCCGAGCTCATGAACATATCGGTCATATATTATTATTATTTTCAAACAAAACTTTGGCAACCCCAAACAATTTATAATTAATACTTATAATAAAATTCATAGTATAATAACAGAAATAATGCTATGTTATATAAATTAGTAGGCTATTAATTGAACAGGTATGTTTTCAACGCTAAATTTTAAATTTGTAGTTATACGAGTATATAAATATATACTAAAAATTTGTCCAAGAAGTTAATTTAAAAATCGGAAATTGTTATTATAATAATAAAAACAATAATATTTCTGTTCGACGGCGGAGGTGGTAAAGTATACCAACTCGTATAATGTTATATAGGACGAAAAACATGCGATGACGACTACAAAAGCTATATCGTCTTCGCATAAAGAAAGACGGTTGGTTTTTTTTTTTTTTTTTGCTGTTATGAAAAGTGATGATCGAAATCGTTACAATATTATCTACTGGCTTCCGATTTTACAATTATTATTATTGTTATTGGTTTTTGTGTTGACTTATAATTTATATACTAATATAATATCGCCGATGGAACGAGCTGGAAATTACGGTCGGGCTACGCCCTATGCAGTGTGTGTGTATATATATTAACTACGTATAGCAGCAAACAGCTATATATGTCCCAACGAACGGAACTACTAAAAAAAAATTAATAATAAGAAGAAGAATAAGAAGAAGTAGGAGGAAAATTGCTAGAAGCCGTTTTTGTTATCGCGTCGATAAACGGACGTTTGTGTCTACGAGTATATATTTTTTATACTATTATAATATATTATTATTATATCGTCGACGGATGATGATGATAAACGTGTTCACTGGTTTTCGAATTCGATCGCAAACGCCTTCGATGTAGTTGATGTACAATAATTTACCTTCAGATAAATTATACACGGACGACGACAACGACAATTATAATTATTATTGTCACTCATCTCAACGACATATTATTATTATTTAATATTGTCAAACGTTAAATTATTACTTTGGGTACAATACATAACAATAATATGTTATTACGAGATAGAAAGACGTATAGCAGGCACGCCCCGAGACGCGATGTCGCGAGTAGAAACCTATACATAATTACGGTTACGGGCGGGAATTAACGATTGGATTTTACAGAAGAAATATTTCTTAGATAGAGAAATTTACAATATTATAATAATGATGACAAATTCCGATGGTTTTCAGGTGACCATTTAAAAAGAAAAAAAAAATTATCGTCCCTAAGCTTGAAACGCGCCAAGGCATACGCCCTGTGCGGAGTCTTTCCACTTGTTCGTATCAAAATAGTGTAATACAACAATGTCCATAGGAGGTAAAACTACGTATTATAATATAAATAACAACAAAGGTGAGCAAACGGCGATTTCAATCAATGCCGTTAAAAAAATCTCGTTACCTACAAACTTTTTAGTCAACCACTCTATGATATTACGACGTACATGCTATATGTATACGATCTTAATAACGGTAAAAAATGTGACCAAGTGAAAGTCACTGGTTTAATCAAATAAAACATTATAAATAAATAAATTAATTGATCGTAGTTGATAAAAAGTAATATAAATTAAATTATATATATAGTATATCAGCATATCAGCTAGAAAAATTACGGGCTAACTCGAATTAATTAAATTTAAGCTTCTATAAACTAAAGCCACACTAGTTTTGAATTCTAATTGCTCAATATCATTTTCGGCATAAAAAAAAGTAAATGTCCAGTAAAATATAAAATAGTTGTTAAAATGCGGGTCGAAAGTCTTCAATAAAGTTGAAGCCCATTGTATTAGATGACTTATTATACATATACTACGACAACAACTATTCCGATCCAGTAGCTGTATGCACAACGCAACAATTTATTATAATTATATAAATTATAGGTATAAGTAATAAACCTGTGAATTGGATGACGATAGTGTATTGTAAATGCAGTTAAAAATGCATAAGTATATCACACACGCACACACACTCGAATCAAAATATATTATATAATTTTTGAAAACTAAGAGGGGGGATGTTAGTAAAGGAAGGCTGAACATTCCACCCTTTCAGATTAATTCACTGTTTACTGTTTCAGGTCAATATGGTCATAATACTCGTATACATGTATTTTAATATTTATAATATCATAAGGATTTACAACATAAATAATATTCAAATCGTTATTCAGTTTACGAATACTTTTTAATTAATAATAAACGAGTTAAGTGATAAATGTATAATTATTTTAGTTTTTTTCTTTTAGATATGGTTTCTAAAAACATCATGATATTTAAAAAGTAATATATATATATTATAGATGTATAATATGTATTAAAATGCACTACGGAAAAAACGTTTACTTCACCTCCCCTTTATAAAATTCTATGGACATTATCTTTCAAACTTTTAGTGGAGGATAGCCAACATATTGTATTATAATATAGAATATGGATTTGTTGAGTCTATAAATCGAAGTTTTTATTTCAAGATCAATGTACCGATAGCGCTCCTTATATTTTTATATTTTACGGTCATGTACTTATGTCTTATACTATTGCGTTCCTTAATATTTACGGTCAATCTACCGATTATTGTGATTATCTTCTTATTTAACCTACTTAATGATTGTATTAAATTTAATTATATTAATAATGAATTATTACTATTATAGATAAACGAAAAAAAATAAAAACAATTCTTAATCATAGAAACGTATATTATATTAAATTATAATAATATTACGATACTTTTATTTTTATTATTTTCATCTAAACATGTTTGTCTTTGTAAAAGAAATCATATAAACACAAACCAGCACTTGCATTACAATAAACAATACTGAATATGATACATATTGTACATCAAAAGCTGAGAAATAAAAATGCAAACAAATTCATCTCAAACAATTTTCAAAAATCGATTTATTAATTGTTTGTTTATATGAATACAAATTTAAAAACTATTACATAGTTGAGTATTTATATATATATATATATATATATATATATATATAAATACTTACATATTATCCACAATATAGATATTAAAAAAATAAATACTTTTAACTACTTAGGTACCTATATTATTTTTATTTTATAACACATAAAGGTAATGCGTATAAGTATATTTACCTACTAAAGTATAATGGTGATGTTTATTAAAATTTAACGTTTACAAAACAAATTACCAAAGAAAAATACTTAAAAATAGTTTATTAAATACTAAGAACAAAAAACATTTGTTTATTATATATTATGAACATAATTAATATGTATATTTTATAGAAACCTGTAATTGTTTTAATTTATTCTTATTGTATTTGAAATAAGTGTTAATTATATCATTGTATACAACCATAAAGAGATGAAAAGAATGTAATAAATATTATTTTTTACTTATAAGTTAAATCTAAATGACCAATGGATATTATTATTTAACACAATTCGTATAATTTTAGGTTTATCGACTATGAAATGACCAAACGCTACAATTGGAACAATCGGTAAATTATCGTCGTATTATTTGTTGGTACAAAATACTCTCGGCATTTATTATATTTTAGTCGTCGTTATTTCTCCATCTGCGGTCGGTAAAACGAACATTTTTTCGTGCGGTTTGTCTATGTAACAAACAGATGACGTTAATATTTTTTAAATATGTGGACTATACAATGATATATTATAGGTTCGTGCAATCGATTTTCAAACGAACCTATCCAGTGATTATGTAATATAGACTGAAAATATAATAACCCGAGTGAATATTATTTTTTAT